TTGTGTACTGTACTGGTGCCCCTAAACGCTACTTAGTATTTGGTTAGTCATTTGGGTACGATGGTTGTTATCGGTAGTGGTGCTATGAGATGGAGATTGTGGTTTAGTAGAGGATGATGCATGTGTTGATAGTAGATTCGGGGCATTCAGAGGGGGAAGAGGGGTCTTTTTGCTTGGGCTTTGGGGTTCTGCTTGTGCGGTTGATTAGTGTTGCTTCTTAGTCTTTAGTATTTAGGAGTAAGGTCTTTAGTAATTTGGAGATGAGAAACGTGAAGGTTGTTGGTATATGGTTAGTTTCAGTAACAGATAGATTGACCCGTGATGAGATCTGCGATTGTGCTTGAACAAATACGGAGAACCGAGTTGTATTTGATAACAGGGGTACGCCATCGGCGCGTGTAGTAGTCGACGAATGGTGCGAGGTACTATACCCCAGGCCTACTGTGGTGGTGGCTAATATGAGCAGGGCAATAAAAGTCGAGATCTGGAGATGGACATCTGACGTGAGGAACAACTCTACTTATAACAGTGGTGGATGTGAAATGGGCGGGAGGGAGGGATTTAATCAACTGTACAATGCGAGGAAAACCGGACGAGCCAATCAATTTCATGGCCCCGGATGTCTACAGTACACTCAGCCTGCCCTTAGTGTCAGTCTTGAGCGCCGTCAAGATTTACTCGACGCAGTAGTACTTTAATCTCTCCCTCTTCTCTCTTTCTATGTCGCCGTCAGCAGCAGCAGCAGCAGCAGCAGCTAACAATCAATGCAAGGCAGAGACACGCTGTGGCCGACGCATGGTTTTTCATCAACAGGAACCTGCGCGTTTTCTCACCTTGTCGGTGGGTGACCACTTTACCTCATACAGATACAGGAGATGCATTCTCTGACTTTACCGAACGTCCGGCGTTGACTCTGGACATGGACACCTGTGTAGCCGACACAGGAGACAACCGACCGAAGCATGTGAGCTGAGTTGCCTGCGGCCGAGCGACAGGTTAGACACCCAGTGGATAGCCTCTTGGTCGCTTCTACGGCATTCTTCCGCGTAGGACCTCACGCTACCCTCCTCCGCCCACCCGCGGTTCCATTCTATCTCATCTACCGTCAACCGTGGCCGGCTACTGGCCAGCCACTGATACTTCGGCCGGTAGAGGTCAATTCGTGAATGCGCGCGAATTGAACTCCCCTTCATGGGAGTTGACGAAGCCCCGTCGGCCACAACTGCCTTTATAAGAATTGAGTTCTGAAGGCGAGCACAGGTAGTATAACTGTACGAGAGCCCTGAGTGTGTGGCACATGGCCGCCCATCGGCCGAATCCCTGGAATACTTCTGACTGGTCAGTGAGAAGGGAGAGAGAGAAAAAGAGGCAGCTCGCATCCGCCATCAAGAAAGGCCCCTGAGGGTTAGAAAGGGAATGGAAAATGAAAGCAAGGGCCAGGGGAAACAATAGCTAACTTCTCGCAGACCGAGACCCATGCTATCAGGGGTGGAATGGCCTGACCCTATGATCTTTCCTGCAATGCGGTATCGGAAGATTGATGACAGGATAGCCGTTAACTATTCTTCCTGATTTGTACCGGTACTAGACATGAGGGTACGCGCAGAGTGAGTGAGATTTGGCGATGGGCTGTCATTGTTTTCCGGAGAAGGCATACCCACACCCATCCTCTTTTGTTAGTCTGTGCTTTGGTCGGAGACCCTCCATGCGCCTGGCTGATGTCATCAGTTACCAAGTACCAAAAGTCCCAATTTTCAATTTGTTGTTTGTAAATATTACAGCCAAGCAGGCTCTCATCCATAGTCTAGTGGCGAGGTTAATCTCCAAATGTTGGCTAGAGTTGAGAGGGAGGGGGCGAAGAAGACGAAGGACAATGATGGGTGAAGAAGAACTTACTTTCTGCTAAGTACGAAGTAAGGTACGGTTAGTGAAGATCAAGAACGAGGATTGCCCACTGCACCCCCCTCCACCCCCTCGAGGAAGGAAAGAGTAACTTAGAGAATAATGGATCATGGGTGGATGGATGAATGGGTGAATGCCAAATGGATTATGGATTGGTGCTCAGGCCCATTCGGTAAGCTGAACAAGAATGGCCCACTCGTCCATTCATCCACTAACTCGCTGAGTACATACGTACTGTCTTGTATTTTTGCATCCCCGTCAAATCTTTTGGTTCAATCAACGGGCGGACCTCCGATCCGAGCCGCCAACATGACGGGCCGAACGTTCCCTGATCTGTTCCAGTTCTCGAATAATTATTTAGTAGTGGTTACAGTAACTACATCAAGTTACTAATTCTGGTTGGAATGACTGGAGGGGGGGGAGGGGAGGGGGGTGGATGATGATGACAAAGAAATTGACTTACCAGCAGTTTTTATTGAATACTCACTTATCAGTCTCTGCCGGATCTGGATAGCGTCCAAGCCACAGCGACGATGAACCTGAAGGTTTTGCTCTTCAAAGCTCAGGCCTCATTCTAGCTCCCCATCGGGGCATGATCCCACTTTGCCACACCGGTCAGAGGCTTCCCTCGGATCATGCCTGACAGCCTCCAATGATTTGTGTAGCTCGCGTTTGGCAGTGATGGTTCATCTATCGGGGATGATGAAACCATAAAGATTCAAACATGCTTGTGGTTGACAGTACGGATGAGTATTCAGAGAAACCGACAGTGGGTGCTGGGTCGCAGCGTGTGTCCAGGCCCTTTTTGCCCGGATGGGCCCTAGAGCGTTTCGAGAGTGCAGGTTGGATTCTGGCGCCAAACCGGCCAGGATGAGGCTAAGGAGTAAGTACTGGTCGATCCAGTCGTGAGCGTAGTCAGATCCCTGCCATGCTCAAAAAGCACTGTGCTTTTGTTCTTCTGGACTTGGGATTTCCATCCAAGGGAAAAGAATCTGCGGAAGAAGCACGCGCGACGAGCAACAGTAAGGTAACTATAGCAGCGGATTTATGATCCCCAGTAGATGCACCTGCAGAAATGGCGCAGGACTGTCTGGAAGGGATCACCACCATCTGGGTCTATTCTTGTCTATCGCTTTGGGGGAGGGTTCATGTTCCGCATTGCCTCGGAAGAAGAGGGGCGTGAGAGTGGTTGTTTCAATTGTTTGATCCCAGCTTGAAGGGTTTCTTTCCTCTTGTTCTTCCTTCCTTCCCTTCCCACCAGACATCGGCAGACTAGACGAAAATGGTAAGAAGTCTGCCGTCTGTCTGTTGCTCGACACACTGAAACGGTAGGCGGGATATAGTTAGGGGGGTAAGTACTGTACCGTGGACATACCTGCTCCCTATCCTGAAGGTACTAGGTACGGAGTACTACGTACGTACTCGACGTACGTATGTTTTTGAAGGATAAGGGGGGGAAGGGCCAGCAGACAGACGGGAACGTGACAAAAGTACACGGACCATGTCCAAAGGGTCCGTGATTGGGGCGCGGCAGCAGGGATCACAACATCCGCGGGCTTTTCCAGCAGCACCAGCAGCACGTCGCCGCATCAGGCAAGCGGATGTCTTTACTGCCTCGCCAGTCAGCAGTCGTACTTTTTATTTAGCGCGGGTAATAGTGGCCCGGGGTGGATCTTACCCCAGCGGCGAACCACTCCCCGGTTGCCCTGTGCCTCTTTGCTTTCCATCCATCAGTTAGTTAGTGATTGGATGCTCTTTTCACATCTCCCCTCCCCTCCACTTGATACTGAGCTGAGATCTCGAGATACTCACTACTCCGGGAGTATTCAATGAGATATCGACCGAGATACATTATCCAATGACAATCATCTACAAGAACATTGTACAGTCCAGTAGCCTTCTCAAATCACCTAGTACCTAATTTGGTCAAACTCACTGGCTTCAACCGTTGAATTCCCGCCGTGAATGGATGAAGGAAGGAAGGATGGTTGCCGGTCTCTGTTTGTTGGCAGCGTTTGAGTGGAAGATAGACAATCATAGTTCTAGCTCAATGTCTGTAGCTTAAGTAAGAAATCTGGATGCTCATTACGAACTTCCAGACAGTTCGTAGTTGGTGGAAGCAGGGCGGTACCTACAGTATTGTAGGTACAGACAGTACTCATGCACTCAGTCCATACAGTCCAGTCCAGTCCAGTCCAGTCCATAGTTACAATCCATACCTACCTAGAACTTTCCTTCCTTCCCTCCAGCCCTGACCCGACCTGACCTGACCATTGCAGTGACTGGGGTCATAATTTCTTTTTGGTTTTCTATTTTTCTCATCGCTTTTCTGGGCTTTTCTTTTTTTCTCTTTTTCTTTTTCCTTTTCCTTTTTTTTTTTCTCTCTCTTTTCGCTTTTCTCTTTTCCTGTTTCTTTTTTCGGTGTTGGTTCCGTTTTCTCGAAATGCGAGCATGTTTAGAAAGCAGTAGCAACCGGAATAATCAATAATCTCGTGGATTATATGCTGAGGGAATGACAGCTACTATCACCACGACTATTTCCGATTTCTATCCACTCTGGGGGTTTCCTCCAAGCCAATCTCGCTGGTGACTGGGGCAAAGCTTCATCGCCTTGACTGTTCGACACCGTGACACCTTCAACTCTTCTTTCTTCCCCTCCCCCCGCCTCTTGCTTCCCTCTTGATCGCCTCCAAATCTACTATATCATTGCATCTTCCGTCCATTTTTCCGGCCGCAACTGACTCGATAACGCTTTCTGTCATTGCATCGGACCACATCTACAGAATCGCTCTTAGTATCTACTTCCTTCTGCTGCCACGACTGAAAAGATCCTCTTTCGGCTCGCATTTCCGCGCTACCGCTCCTGAACGCTTCTACTTCTTCTCCCTTACCACCACCACCACCACCACCATTATCCACTCCTCCGTTCCCCCCCAGTATTTGATCCCAGAGTCCACAGTCCGCAACAGCCCCGTTCTTTCAGGAGAACTAACTGCGGTGGAGGCGCAACTTTTAATCCATCAATTCGAAAAGGGTCCAGACTGGATCCAGAGTATGAAAGGCGGAGCCCTTAGAAAGTACCCAGTCACCAATTCAGGATGAATGGCTCCCTGCCTCCCGTTTCTTCCATTCCCTCGACTACCTCCACCATCAACAACACCACAACCACAGCAACAACCTCTTCTACTTCCACGACCGCCAACAACACCACCACGACAACACCCACCCCTACCATTTCTTCTTCGTCTTCCTATAAAAACAAGTTTAAACCTCGAAAATCCGAGGATTGGACTTCTTATCGGGAGATCATTCAAAGTCTTTACCGCGATGATCACTTGAAGCTCCGTGATGTGAGGCAATATATGCTCGAAAATTATAGCTTTGAAGCATCGTATAGCCTTCCGTTTCCTTTTCTCAGTCTTCTCCCCTGACACTTCTCTGCCTGTCATGCTTCCACTTGCTGTTTTGACTCTCCCCGACCCTGCCAGTGCAAGAGGCCCCCTTTCTGCATCTGTGATAAAGATCGAGAGAAAAAATGGGACAGTGCGCGCTGATCGTCATCGCTTTTTGCTTTTTCTCCCCAATTCTCCACCCATGAGTACCACTCAATTGAGGACCATCCCCTGACTTGGAAGCTTATAGAGAAAAACAATACAAAGACCGCCTGGCCGCGTGGAATGTTCGCAAAAACATCAAGGCCAAAGAAGTCCATATCATGCTCCGCAAGCAACAAAGGCGAGCTGCAGAGGGCAAGCGGACGGCGTTTCGAGTGGCTGGCAAGACGGTCGACACGAAGCGCATCTCCCGCTTTGTCCGTAGATATGGCAACCACTGGGAGTTGGATGATCCTCGTGAGAGCGTCCATCCAAATACCATCCACCCGAGCGTGGAGAATCAACCAGCGATTCCGCAAACGCAGCAAGAGTTACACCAAAATCTTCCCACCAGCCCTGAGCCAGGTAAGCTTTTCGGTCCCGAGTGACTTGTTGTGCATGCATCGCTCATGCTGCGTCACAGAGACCCCTACAGACATCGAATACTACACACCGGAGCCCGATGAGAGAGCTATGACCCTGTCGCCCTCGACCGAAACGCCATCTCGTTTTCGTGAGGAAGCCCCCCCCCCGCCCCGCCCTTGTAGCATTTGTCCTACAGTGCTCCTGCCATGCCGTTTGCATGTCTCAACGAGCATCGCGCTTCTAGGTAGGAGAGCTAGACTAATCAAGTAAATGCAGACGATGAAAAGCTCAAGCTCGAGCCACTCCCCGAGCCGGAAGTGGACCATGCCCAACCTCTACCGGTTTCACCTACTCCCTCCGCGCCACCCAAGCCGCTATCCAATGCCCTCCCTGACGAAGACTACTGGAAGGCGCTCGATGTGTTTCAAGGCCAACTCTTGACTCTGTCCAGGACCCTTGACCAGACCATGTCTCAGTTCACTTCTCCGCATGACGATCTATCACAGTAATGTCCCTTCCTCGAATCGCCGATACCCCTCTGGCCGATGACCTGCCGCTTCCACTAGTCACACCTTCGATGGTATGATACGTATGTTTGGAAACTGTCCGGTCCTTGATGCACGTTTCTCATCTTTCTGCTCTAAAGCCCAGGCAATTGGCTTGTCTTGTGCTTCAGATGATGTTGTGATCACTACCAGTTATCGCCACTTCGCGTCCTGCATCACTCCCCACTGTCATACTTACAACTTCACATGTCCTTTTTTCTTACTTTGCAAATTGCCTACTATATAGAGCATCTATGGTCTAGTTTTTTTTGGGGAGAAAAGGTCTAGTGTAGGTCTTGGTACACCTAAGAAGATAAACGGGAGACATCTGGTCCGAGCTGGTATGTTTATCTAATGGTTGCTGCTTTAGTCACTGGCTGCTTTACGGTTGCCTCGGCCTTCTACCTCACGCTTCTGGACCGAAGCACTATTATTGACCACGTTGAACGATTTACCAACGACTCAGCTGACGGCCACCATTGATGGATAGCCTAGAGCTAGGACACCATCAGACCCAACTTGATCGCGTGAGGTTTTTGGCTTGTGGATCATCTATGACATGCACGCGCGAAGGCTACAGTTGCAGTCCACTCCGTCACTCATTCCGACCAGTCAGCGCCGTGCAGCGACCAACCTGGCTCTTCAAATCGACAGCCAGTCTTTGCTGCGTACCGGTTGAGATGCCAAAGTTCGTGTCCGGCGTGAGAGTTTTCTCACTATACCTTATGCTCCACACCAACTTACGCCAAGTCTCTGGATATGCCGCATTTGCCAAGAGTCTTGCTCGAGCCGTCTCGACGCACGTTTAGACTCTACTTAGGGAATGGGAAAGGATGCTACGACTGAAGGGTGGTTAGGGAGGATACGCAGACAACAGCCGACCCGGACTGAAAGAAGAACGATCACAACAGCAGCAAAGAAGGATTAATGCAGACATGCAGACTACAATCGACACTTTCCGAACAGCCTCTTACGTTCGCCTCAATAGATCTCGCGTCTCGACCTACACAAATATCTTGCGACAATATTGACATGGTCACCGCCGAGTTATTCGCCTTTTTCTGAGAACCCACCGGAATCAGCATGCCCGAAGTCTTTTCGCCAGTCCGACGGACGCATCGACGCATGATAGTTCCAGACTGAACCATGCCAAGGGTGCATGTACATTTGGACCTGAAATCCGGTTTCTCGCATAACCCAAGTCCGCCAATCAACTTGCAGCACAAAGGCAAAAGGGGGTCTACAAATGTGGGAGTGGAAAGTGGAGGGTGGGATAGTGCGCAAGTCTAGAAGTACAGGATGATAAAATGGTACTTTTCTCTGCGCTGCTCCGGCGGCAGGTGCTTAAGCCTGCCTCCCACCCAAGTGCAGTAGACGGTTTGTACATATATGTATCCAGGTAAAGACGATCTGATCGCGCCCCGAGCTGCCGATCAGTGGTCAATCATAACTGCTGGGTGGGAACAGGGAAGAGTACTTTATGTCGGGAGAGTATGGAGTAGAAAGGGAGTACATGTACATTGATCTTACTAAAGTGATCCAAGTGAGGTGGGTGACTGTATCGTACTTTACGATTCTGCGAACTCAGAACAAACACAACTCACACTAAGTACTGTAGGTACTGTTGATAAAGGATTGCATTCTCTGCCCACCCACCTACCCATATACCTACCTATTTAGTATTGTGCTGTACTCCCACCACTGTAGTAAGTACTATACATAGTAGACAAAGCCATACGCAAGAGATCGCCCTCTGAGCCCACTTCCGATTCCACCCCATGCCATTGGGTGGAAGAGAATCTAAGCCCACCACCACTACGATACTTACTATATAGGCACTAGGATTCCTGGCGTAGGTGACCACTCTCAAGACAGGAGGCGAAAAGGAACCACCAATCCACCCAATCCCCAGGGTATGGCTGAGTGAGGTGAGGTCCTTCAATCAGATATGACAGTACTTGCGGGCACTGCATAGTACTATACTTACTTGTTCAGGGAATGATCAAGGGATAAGTAGGGGTTTTGATTTCTTGCACGGTATACTGTGATTGCGACTGACTGTGTCCAGGTACCCCAGCATAAACACTCGATTCTACGGGTTCCATCCCGTGCAATGCAGACTATATCCCACTCAATAGGAAATGTCCATCGGATTCGGATTTCATCCCCTTCGAAGTCGTCGCACGGTGACTGACTTGGTTTAGTGCACTTACTGCAACCTAGTGCGTGCGTTTTACTCAGGAGACCAGAGCTGGGAGATGCAGTTTCAACGCAGACTGTAAGTTAGAGATGGATATATGGACATGGACATGGACATGGCCATAGCCATAGCATGAGTAGAGCAACAGATATCCCGGTACAGATTCCTAGGTAGCTTGGAGGTCACTGCCCAGGATAGTATGGGCTGTACTGCACTGTACTGTTGTACACAACAACCCCCCACCACCCCCCTCCCCCGCCCCTCCCCACCCCTCTCCGCGCGCACCGCCCCAGGGCTTAGGTTCTAAATCCGCCACCGCCACCACCACCACCACCACCATCATCACCACCCATGCACCAGTATCGGAGGATATCACACATGTGGCTGTCAAGTGGGTGGGATGATCCCATCCCGCTTGACTTCCCAAGTATACCCCTCCTTCCAAGGTACTGGTACTCATACCCAGTTCGAGTGTGGAGAATACTCCGTCCGATATGGGATGGATTTTGACTGGGGATATCTGTACTGGTACTGGTCATTCCCGCCCATCCTCAGGGTCTTTCTTCTTCACGCCAGAATCCGAGGAGGTCTAAAGCAGTACTAGTACGTAGTTAGGGTGGATTCCATGAGCTGCTCACTCATTGTTCTTGACTGGTTCCACGAGCACCGCTACAGTTACAGCTACAGTCATCGCCCCAATGCTAGACCTGCTCCCGTAAACCAGTCCAATCATCGCTCTCATCCAACACGATGGAAATGTTTGAATCTTCTCGCAAGATAGGCACACTTTTAACTCCCATGTACACCGGTCTGAACACCCAAGGAAATCAATGGTGAGAACTGAAAGAGCACAAACCTAGTGCGGTGCGTCTCTTCCGTTTCGCTAAAACAACTAGTAAGAAGTACATCTGAACCATGAACCACGCCCAACGCTAGAAAAAAGAAATCCGTAAAACACTGAGAAAAACGTTCGTCGTCAATCAATCAGAGTCAATCGACCTGGGTTGCGCCCCCGGGCCGGCATCCACGCAGTCCGTGCTGTCTGTGAATGAAGAAAAAGATTACAATGCCGAGCAGAAGGTAACGTCGAGATTAGGAGTAGAATGCGCTCTTCTGAAAGCTCTCTGGCGAGATATCGCCCATCTTGCCCTTCAACTCGGGCTTGACGGTCGCGTCCGCCACTTCGTCGGTCACGTGAGCTCGTAGCGAGTTGCTGCGGCTGGTGGCTTCACTGCCCGAAGTGATGGCCTGCTGATGGGGACGGCGCTGGATGGTTTCCAGGTACGGTCCAGGGAGGTATCCGACACGACCGTCCCGGGCACGGCACCGCCACCACTCCGATGCGTTACCCATGGGGTCCGACTTGCTGAGGACAGCGACAATGTCGCCCTTCTTGACGGCCAGGTCAATCCCAGAACTTTCCTGGGCCTCGGGGGTGTAGTCATACAGCACGCGGCAGAAGTCGAGCTTGGAGGGATCCAGCGGTACCTGCTGCGCGGGCTCGCCATTCGGACCGAGCATCATCTGACGCCGCTGTTCCTCCTGTGAGCGTGCGAGAGCCTTGATGAGCTTGCCCATCAGGTACGGAAGGCCGAAGACGGCGATCAGGAACATGAAGAAAGGCTTCTTCGAAGGCTTCGGCGGGGCGGGAGAGCCATCGGGCAAGGTCGCGGCAACGGAACGGCCATTCATAAAAGCCGCGAATGCAGCCGGCGTGAGAGCCGTAGCATCCGCCGGCGGCGGACGACCGGTGATCTTTGCGATCAAGGTTCTGAACCAGCGGATCAAGGTGAAGAGGCCGAGAGCAGAGCCCAGGGTGTTGCGGAGGTTGCCAAGCTGCTCCGCGACGGAGACCATGGCTTCACATAAGATCAGCATATGTACATCCCACCAGGACAAAACGATGCAACATACCGAAAAACGAGCTGTGGGTCGCCATGTAGGTGCTCTCCAGCATCTGGGCGAAACCACCAAACGCACCGACAATGCTCTCGATCATTTGGAAAGTCGCCTGTGTGCTTTGACTGAAGGAATTGGTCAGGCTGTTCGGGTCGTTCGGATCTCCAGGCATGCCACCGCCATACATCCCTCCCATGCCGCCGTACATCCCGCCGTAGCCTCCATAGCCGCCATACATTGACCCCATCGTCCCGAAGCGAGAGTATGGTGAAGAGTAGGCCCCGTAGCCACCATAGCCACCGTAGGGACTGGTGCCGAGCCGAGAAGCTCCGTATGGCGAGTAATTGGATGCTGTGCGGTTCACGACGGCATTCAGAGTGTCGGGGCGAGATGGGAGATCAGGGGTGGCAGACGTGGAGGTTGAAGCGGCGCCGGTGGTTGCGGCCGAGGCTGGCGAAGAGGCCGTCATCGTTGCTGGACCAGCCGTGGCGGGTGTAGTGGTTGCGACAGATCCTGATTGTGAGGTCAGTAAGAATGCACCGAGCTGGAAAGAATCAGTTTGTGGTGCTCCTACCAGCCGTAGCGCCGGCTCTTTCCCACGGTTTGGGTGGCGAAACCGAGGCCATTGATAAGCGGGAATGTGCTGGTACCTCAACAGTCTCGCATGGGCAGTAACCCGCGAGAGGCCGGTCGGGCGAGACTAGGAGTGGGAGGCGAAGTCGAGAGGGTGGAAAGGACAGTAGTTGTTTGAGAGTGAGGGAGTGGGTGGAGAAGGGGAGACGAGAGACGAGAGCGAGAGAGAGAGGGAGAGAGAGAGAGATAGCCAAACGTAAAGATGGAGTTGGGGAGGCGGTGGAGGGAAGAAGGCGGAGGGAAGAGAAGGTGGAGTCACAAAGAGGAGAAAAGAACTGCCGCTGCATGTGGTCTCTCGGTCGGCGGCCCGCCCGCTGGGCCGAGGTTGATTTGATCTCAGTCTGGGGCTTTCTCCGAGTCTCGGTTCATCCACAAACGGTTTACTTACTCATTCTATACTCATTCTCTAAAATTTCTTTCGTCTGCATTGCATTGGCACAGGTCAATCAGGGATATCTTATTCTAATCAGCAAACAACAATTGCTCCATCCCAATAAGTTATAATACAGTAGGTGGCATATCGCCAGCCAGTCCAAAACTCCGAACGATGCAAAATCAGCCATCCACCCCACAATAAGGCAGAAAGGAATATGTCTACAACATTGACCACAAGCAAGACAGCCTACAACTCATCGCGCGGTGGCATGGCCGCTCGAGGAGTACGGACCTTCCATGCGCGTGGCGGCACCGGAAGTCCCAGCCAATAATTCCACACACGGGCGATCTCGATCACGATAATCTCAACCCTATGATTTGCGAAGTTAGCATGAGGACAATCCTGTTAGGGTGAAGGGCCTGCTACTTACAGTGTCTTCGGAACGTTGACCCAGCTCTTCAGCACATAGACATATGTATCCCAGACAATGGAGAATTCGGCCTTGATATCGTCCCAGAGGGTGTCGGTATCGCGGCGTTCGCGAACCCGTTCCCAAGGAAGCTTCTCGGAGATATACACAAAGTCCTCATCGTCGTTCTCGTAGTAGAACGTCGAGCCACCGTCCTTGAGCAGGCGTCGGGTTTTCTTGTCGCCACGGTCCTTCGACGCAATGCTGGCGGGGATCGAGAACACCTCGCCGTCTCCGACCTCCATGGCACGGTGGAAGCTCCGGACTGCGGCGACACTGTGGGAGATGCGACCAAGGGTGTTGATCAGCGCCACCAGTTCGGTCCGGCGCAGCAAGGGGTTCTCGCCGTTCTTGGTCTCGTCATATTCAAAGAGCACCTTCAAAGCGGTTCCGTATCCGTTGACCTGAAGCTTGCCCCAGAGACGGCACTTGTCGCACCCGACACAGTCCATCAGCCGGCTAACATTGCGGAAGCGATTGCGGAAATCTTCCTTCAGACCAAGGGCGCTTGGGTCCTGGAACATGATGTTCTCATCGAAGATCTGAGGCCGCTCGGCAAGGGTGGCAGTCAACCTCGACACCTTCTCCCGAGTTTGAGTATCTTGTTCGGGGTCGCTGGTACAGTAGTTGTAGCTCTTCAGGTGCTTCTGCAGCTTTGCCACAGCCCGGGACACCAGAGCGTAGTTGAAGTACAGGTTGGAGATGCGCTCGGGATGGTCGTGCAAGCGCTCCTTGAAACATTGCAGGTTGGGGTGCCACTGCCCAGTCGTCTGGTTGAGGTAGTCCCAGCAGAGATGCGTCGAGATGGAGGCATGCATTCCACTGATGAGGCGATGGAAGACCCGCTTCTCAAGGCACTCATTGTCTAGGGGAAGACGATCCGGGCGCTTCAATTCCTGTTGTAGCACACTGCGGAAGTCGTTCATGGCTTCAAGATTGCCCAGTTGGGGATTGGGCGACAGCTCCAGCTGGGAGGTTGGCTTGAGGAAACAGTTTTCGCGATAGATCGCATCCCAGACCTGGTGGGCGCCCATACCAGCATAGCCAGTAAATCGCTCGGGGTTGTCCACTAAACTGACGTAGTCTCCTTTGCTGCTGGCGCCCTCATCTTCGGGGACGCAGTAGTCTCGCTCGTCGCATTCATCATCGTACTCGACGACACAACTTTCTCCCACGTTTTCACCCAGCATCCCTTGGAGCGGACGATCACTGGGTCGCTCTTTTTGCTGCCTTCGACCTGGATGACCAGCCTTGGGTCCCTCGAGTTTACTCAGCTCCTCTGCCCGCCATGTTAAGGGGATGTCTTCCTCCGATTCGATTGTATTAACTGAGCATGCGATGTTTCCACACATGCTGTTGGCGTCCGACCAGAATGGACAGACCTTGTTGAAGAGGTTGAGACGGTAATATGAGAAGAAGTCGGTTTCTTGGGTGATAGACTGAAGGAGAGGGTAGACTTGATCATTTAACGCATCGAGAGTCGTATAGGAAACACAAGCGTCGGACACCATAGCGGTAGGGTCAAGCTAGAACAAAACACGATCAGTCTCATCGCCTCTCAATTGACTCGAGAGAAAAGCCGGCTGGACGGCCAGAATCCAGAAGTTTGTTGTGACTTACCGCGCATTTGTCATGGCCATACTGTAGGCCGGCTTTGCCCTCATGGCTCTCAGCGTTGATGCGCGCAGAGAGGGCAAATACAGCCAGATAGAAAAATTTGGCCGCAGAACGCATCTTGCTGCGTGCAAAAGCAACAGAAATCAAGAAACGGGCGTGTGGCGGAGGCAGAGCACGAGCTCTTCCGAAACGACAGACAAAGGCGAGATCCCAGCAAATGTGCTGAGGTCACTTTCAGGTATGTGTTTGTTTGGATAGACTATAGTTGGCGGAAATTCGAAGTCGGGATTGACCTTCACATGAAGATCATCAACGGCAAGGGCAAGTCGAGCCGAAGTACTCCGGGGAGCAAGTAAACAGTTTCAGGCCAAATTGACACTTTTCGCGGGGCCGAGCCACAAATAATTGCAATCAGTGTCACCACCAAAACGAGAGTTAGATCAAGGACTGGTGCGCGATCACTAATACAAGGGAGAACGAGGGATGTGAGGTCAGTTAGTCAAGAAGAGAAAGAATGAGAGAGAGGTTGCAGTTGCTGTTGCGAAGTGGACAAGCTGTCCTCGGTGGCGGCGCGGAGTTGCATGACCCGCAAGTAGTCATCAATAATCATAATAATCATAATAAAGAGTCCCTTTCCGACGGTTCGATATCGGTTTATCGCCGCCCGCCTTGCGCCTCTAACCTCCTGACTTCGGTTCCTGTTGGTCTCTGCCAGAATCTTAGATTATTAATTATCCTGACTCCTGATACCAGAGAGTTAGAGTATGCATTTACTTCCGGCCAAGTGAGCAAACCCACCCGGATCGTACCTCAGCCCATACCAAGCATGCCACCCTCACATACATCGATCGCATGGATCAATTTGATTGAGATCCTGTGATAAAGAAAGGAGGTATTTTCGAGCATCGACCCGGGCATGAAAACAAGGAGGTCGTTTCTATTCACTGTACTCCCATTGTTAAGGGATGCGTTCAGGGCCAAGACTAACGCCCGCCCCCACCACTGACTGGTATTGTTTCGTCTGGTTCTTGTCAGGATCGAGGAGAAAGTCCTCCTTGATTCCGTGATTCAGCTTCAGGAATTATGAAAGAGAGGACAAAACTGCAGAGATAGTAATGGTGACTGACGCATGACCCGGCACGGAAGATCTTTGACCGGCGCAGTTGTCATGTCTGGCTCAGTGTATGTATGTACCGGTGCGACCCGTCTTAATAGAGTAGTAGCATGCGGCACAATACACCTAGCATGAGCACATGACCTTCAATAGCATACTGACCGTGCTCAACTTAGAGGGTGAGCGACCCCGGGTTCAAGCTTTATGAGGTGTCAGGCAGGTATATGATTACTACTAGTGTCTCCAGGTTTGGACTGGTCCCGCCTATAGACTAATTACATGTCCATCAACTACCTCTCCCTCCTGAATGAGCGGTGTCAATTCAAGTGATACGTCGTCCAATTGTAAACTGTCAAGTAACCAGACCGACACAGGAGTCAGGACAAAAACTAAAACAAAACAAAAATAAACGAAATCACATCCCGATTTTGACAAAAAAAAAAAAAAACTCCTAAAATCATAAGAGCACCGACTGAAGATGCCCCTCCAGACGCTAACTCCGTGCTTCAACTCCGATTACAAAGCATAGATTGTCGTCGTTCTTGTTCACCGGAGCCATGGCCGGTAGAAAGAAGACAACATGGTATATATAAATACAGGGGAAGCAAATGTATCCAAGTTCCCTCTTGGGATAATATCACCAGACATTTGCGCGCTCGCGACTCAGCCTGGAATCGACTCAGGAGCACGGTTGTCACAACCGGTATAGTCCGGCGGGAATACTTGTAACTTGACTCTAGTTCGTCCCGCGACGGTTACGACGACGAAGACTGAATCTCTTGCGCAGACTCGCAAATGGGTTCGGATGAGGGGTATTGTAAAAAGGGTCATTCTTAAAATCCTCATCCTTGAATTTCTGCCCAATGATTAGAGACTGGTCATTCACCAACACTGCGGTACGCAAGACAAGTGACTTACCATGCCGGGACAGCGCATAAAGTTCCCGTAGTCGTTCATCATGTTGTTTCCCTCCTCGTATTCGTATGTATGGCCCTGAGGGTCCGTGTGACCTGGGGGGTAATGAGCCACACCATCGAGGGGGCGATGACTATCGAGGCAGTCCACAATTTTATCGTGTGGGGTAGCCTTGAGGGCCTCTGCGTTAGACTCGCGCAGGGCGGCCACCGGGCTGAGCTTGTCGATCACATTTCGCTCGGGGTAGACAGCATCGTAGGGCCCTTCATGGTGGTACTGATATACTCCGGCGTCGTCCAGACGATCAATAACATCGGGGTTCACCAACTGCGAGTTTCGAGAGAACCTCGGCTGGTGCGACTGGGTACGAGCGTGACGTTGCGAGCGATGGTGACGACTGGGACTCGCTTTCCTACGTCGTTGCTCGACAGGCTGATGTTCTGGGGAACCCGAATAGTGGACTGAGGGGAAAGATGTAGAACGCTGACGGTTCAGAGTCCGGGCGGGTGCTGGGGAGGAAGACAGGAATTGTTGGTAGGGATTAAGGTTTCCCATCTCAACTTCCGTAGCGAGCAGGTTCATTGAGTGCCGGGGGTGAAGGAAGGAGGACTCATGTGGATTAGGAAAAGATGGGGCGATGACCGCTGCCATACTGGAGAATAGTAGGAGTAAAGAAAGAAAGAGATAAGAGGAAGAGAGATTTTTGAGCCTTCACTCAAGGATATTGAACCGGCGTGCTCGCGAGTAATATATATCGGTCAATATTTCGAAGCGTGCCTATAAATGTATGTAGGCACCTAATAGTATTGATCACTAGTGAATAGCCTGCGTGATGCAGCCCGCAACTCAAAACGGGTGTGGGGCAAGCGGTGAAGTCGTGGCAGTTCGTATAGTTCAATAGACTGTGAACCTTGAGTCGATTGTCTAACCCGCAGTCACAGGAGTCACAGGAGTAACGGGGATTGGTGGGAGGAAGAAAGGAGGTTGTGTCAGGAGAGTAATATTGGTTGTAGTTGGTCGTAATGGGAGCTGTAGGCGTGGAGTAGGGGCCGTAGTATAGTAGGAGTATGTGGTAAGAATCTTAGGGAGAAGAGAAAAGATGTTGCAGAGCAAAAAGACAAGAAGCGATCTATCTATAAGATGATGTATTCATAGAAAAGGATCATCCATCAGAGTCATCAGCATCGCCTGTCAGTATCAGTCAGTCTCATCATCTTTCTTTTGCCGTTCATGACGTGACAAGTTGCGTATGCTCCGTATGATACTGCGCAGTGCTCCCGCGGATCCACGCGATCTGGGAGGGGCCCTGGAGACGCTTATCGATAAGGCTTCCCCTTCCAGTTTAGCTGCAGGATAGGGCCGGAAGACTAGACCCGTTCTGTTGCATCGGACCCTTCTCGATGATGAAAAGAACCCACGAAGGAACAGAGGCGAATTTTCGATGCCTCGCCGCACCTCTCCGGTCTAGCCTACATGAACCACTCATCGTGGTCGGTGCTGCGTTAGTGACTCTACGGGACTTCCGGAGGGACTCTCTCGATAGCCCCTCCCCTTCCTCCTCCTCCTGGTGGCTCCGGGTGGCTCATGTGGTACCTTGGTGGCAATAATGCTGCTCACTGTGCGATCTTCCGTCTGTCGTCACGTTCGTATGCTCTAACTAACTGGCATTGCTGGCTGACTAACGTTGACCCTCTTCTGACGTTCCAATCCTGTTGACATCATCACCAGTCATGTCGGGCACGACGCACATGAGAAAATTTTTCGATTTCTGGCCGAGCCATGATGTTACCTTTCAGTTGGGATAACTTGACATCAGCGAGGGAAGAGGTTTTCGAGGTTGAATGGTGAACCTCTCGCTTGATCCGAGCCCAAGCCCTTCAGGGCCTTCAACCTTAAGCTTATCGCTAGTATGCCGGTAGTGTCAGCGGCTCAAGTCCAACCATACTTAAGTAGGACAAGTATAGCCCGACTGAAACAAGTTTTGGAACTCTTGGGGGTGGTTTAGTTCGGCCACAGTAGCAATGCACGCGCCATCTACTATAATCCTCCCACTAAGTCAATGCCTGACCTGTCAGTGCAAACTCGATAACCATTGGGGTGGAGACTCAAGGGTCTGGAGTCTGAGTCTAGAGTCTAGCCATGCTTCGTATTCTACCCTGCACTAAATGATGCATGGAAACCGTTGTTACACCGGGCTCAGGGCCGGTCCAATGAATCATACATGGTTCCAGGTACCAGGAACTGGGTAAGGCAGGGTTTTCATGATGCACTCAAGTCGAGAACACCTTGCATATTCTCTACGCATCATCCACTTATGACAGCTACATTGCTTGCTTGATGAAGAACCAGCGGGTTAAACCTCCTTTCCATGGCTCCCATCCCAGCGATTGAAGTCTGGGCCCAAGACGCAAGCTTCTCGCTCGCAATCATAAGAAGTACATAAAATTGTATATGCACCCACTCGTGTTGCCTCTCAGTTAAGCTGCATCTGAGCCTCGATGTGTGATATGTACGCTGTGGAACCGTCACGGATTGAATTACCTCAATAATTTGTCTCGGTAGTTGAAGAAGGTGGCCTAATACGAGATCGCAAACGCCTCATAATCCAGAGAAAGCAAGCAGGATCAAAAAATAGCACGCGTATTCACCACCAATAGTTTGGGAAAAGAGCACGTTGGTTTTTGACATGGCACTACTTCCGCTGCGGAATCAACCACCGTACTACATAGACGTATTATAACCGATCCCGCTTATTTCTCCCGCGTTGAACGGGGCTGGTGAACTAAACTTAAACCTTAAGAGACAACCCATCCATTTCGCAGGCTAGATCCGATCAACTCTTGTCGCGCCACGCCGGAGGACGGTGGATTGTGCTGGATATGGCCCTAGTGCAATACTCGGAGTCAGAATCAGAGTCAGGGTCCGATTCAGAGCCAGTCCACGCGTCTCAACCACCCAACCAAAAGCTCTGTACGACGACCAAGCCACCGCCCACCCAATCCATTCCTCTCCCCCCGCTACCAGCAGCTTTCCATGACCTCTATGCCTCAAGCACACGGGTCAGTGTCAGGGATGACCCAAGTCTTCATGGGGGTCGTAAACGGGTCATCCCTCATGTCGAGGGCAACTGGCCAACGCATCTATATCTGGAATGTAAGTCGTCTGTCCGTCCAGCCAACAACATCCACAACCCACATCTTGTCCCTCCTATTGTAGGCTGCGAATACGAAAGAGAGACATAAAAGCTAATATAAGAAACCCTCGGGCGCGCTACGACGATCAGGGTACGCGTCCAAAGCCGAGCTTACTCTTCTGAGCGATGTGATACTGCAGATCCAACAGCAGCTGCTCCGCGGGAGCAAAACAAAGCTTCACAGCCTGCTCCATAGTGATCTTGGCGCCCAACTGCCTCTCCACATCAGTCTATCAAGACCGGTGGTGCTCCGGACCGAGCAGCGTCAACCCTTCGTGGAGGTGTTTCAATCCGCTTTGAAGCGGTCCAATGTCGCACCGTGCGTATTTGCTCGCCTTCTGTTTAAGAACCGGCATACCGTTTTGTGTTTTCTTTCTCTAGTTTTTGTCTTGGAACACCCATCTGACACCCCCACCTAATTGCTCAGGTTCGACACGACAGCAGATAGTCTGGACTGTGTCTCCAACTACGAGAAGACGCGGTGGTTCTATGTCTTGCGGGTGCGCACTCCGAAGGATGACGAGTTGAACCGTCTGCTGAGACTGTCCAATCGTGCGCTGGCTCGATTCGACCAACCGCCTCTTTACGAGATGGCTGTGCCGTTGTCATCGGCGGAGACCAAAACTGCAACACCAGCAAAATCTTCGCGAGCGAAGCCGAAGCCTGAGACGGAGATCCGAACCGACTGCTCGGGTTGCTTCCACATCTCCCTCGCCTGGAGCCTGGCCGAGCCTTCGACGGCAGAGAAAGAGCAGCTCGCTAACATCGATCTGCGCGAGCTTCACGCCCTCAAGATCGGCTTTGACTGTGTGAAAGTGAAAATAGGCAACCAGATCTCGAGTATCTCTTTGAACTGTCGGACTCTCTGGGATAATCGAATTCTTGGGATGTAAATCTTCATGATGAATGCATTATGTATGCATATACTGTACTTCGAGCACCACCGTAGAAGCGGTACCAAACGGTCATATACCATACACCCTGTAAAATACCACCCAAAGCGGTAATGACCTCCTCAGCCGGGCCGCCGCGCTAGTAAGCTTTCCTTCACACTTGCTTCCTTCGAGGTCACCAAACCGTGGACACATCACTCTTCCCTCACCCCCCGGCCCTCCACCAAACACAAACACAAACACATACACAAATACTAGCACTAAAATGTCCATATCCCACATCCCCCCACCGCCCATAACTCTGGTAATCTCCATTCCAGTCCCCCCAGTCCCCCTGGTCCCCCCAAACTGAAAGAGAACGAAAACAATCTAACCCCGATAGCACAGGAAGACCTCCAAGCCTTCCAGGCCAAACACTTCCCAGCACAGTCCCAACAACCACAAGCACCCCTAGCGACCCATGCCCCTCAGACCCAAACGGACACAACCACCGCCTCTGCGCCCGAAGATCAGTCTTCTTATTACTATTACGAGGAAGATAATGATGATGAAGACGGACTAGGCTACTACCCCGACGGGGTCAAACGGACCCTCACGGACGAGCAGATCCAAATCTTCCGGCATAGTGAGATCCATGCGCTGTTGCGGCAGAGGGAGTTACGCGAGGAGGCGGAGAGGGAGCGGCAAGAGGATGAAGAGGCAGAAGAAAAGGCGCGGCGCGCGGAGAGGACACTTGATCAGCGTGTTGATGACGGTGGGAAGGAGGAGCACGGTGCTGAAGTGGTGCTGAGTGTGGCTGTTCCTGCTGAGGCTGGTGGTAGTGGTGGTGGTGGTGCTGCGGCTGCTGCTGCGGATGTTAACGAAAAGGCTGCGTCACCTAGGCATGGGAAATCTTCCGTCGGGAAGAAAAGGCAGCGAGATGATGGTGATTCGCCTATGGATTATGGCGATGCTGGGGGTGAGCAGCAGCAGCAACAGCAGCAGCAATATGGTTCCACTGGAGCCGCGGGAAGGAACAGTGCATCTTCCGACCCTTATGCGGATCCGTCCAGGCGAGCGGCTCTGTTCACCGGCAGGAAGATTATTTCGTATGACGATTGAGCTACTTTGAAAATTGTGGCAACAATTCCTGTCCGTCCGCTTTGGGAGCTCTTATCGGGGAAGGCAACCAGCTCGTTGCTCGTTAAAGCCGGTAAGTCTCAGCTTTCTCGGTTTCACCACCTTTGCATCCACCTCCTTCATGATGAAAACATCGTATCAGTCATCCTTAGTCGGAACGCCATACCATCTGCGGATGTGTGAGGCTATGACGACTAAAATCTTCTCTCTGAAATATCCTTCATTCTCAATTCTCGTTACGCGTCGATTTATGGTCTTATACTAAGCACGCTCTAGGCCTATAACGAACGACTCGAATCATTCTGGCTATATACTCAGTCAGCACAGCCTGTACAAACAATGCGGCATGCTGCTAGCAAGCTCTCGGCTTGTTCGATGGGCCTTGGGCCTCCGCTCAACCAGGCCCGTTCTATTTCAGGTTGCACCGTAAGCATACAACTGAACTATGCCCAGGGGTTACACAACGATAAAACTTTTCACCGCCTTGAAAGAACGACGCTGCTGACATATCGATGAGGCAAATGGGCGATGTCTCAGGTCCTTCTGCGTTTACTAAACCGATCAAGCACTCCTCGAACTCTGCCTGGGAACCAAGGACCAGAAGGCGATAACTCCAACAAGCAACCCCATCATGATCGGCTGCAAGACTTGGACCCCAACGCGCGAGGCTATGGCGCCCGTCATGAATGGGAAAGCGGCAGATCCCGCCTGTCCAAAACTCGCAGTAAAACCTGTTTGCTTATCAGCCTAGTGTCTATGGTTTTCTTGCACAAATGATACTTACCCATGGCTCCCACGTGCAGGTCTTGTGGTATCACCTTGGTAAGAATGTAAAGTCCGACCGGATAGCATGGCCCAATGAAGAACCCTGTGTCGTGGTTTGCCTGCGTCAGCGTTGTCTATGCCTGGCAGGCTTCTGGCATGAATTAATGCTTACCTAGGAAGCACACCGTAATGGCATTGACCGTTATACTGGGCACTAGCCAAAACAACAACTGTAGAGCAATAGCCAATGTCATATAGACGAAGACCATCCGTCGTTCGCCAAACTTGTGCGTGATATCTGCCAGAGCCACACGTCCAACGGTAAAGCCGGCCCAGAACGCAGAGGCTATATAGCCCACTTTCTCGGGGTCACCATGTCTTACTGAAACGAGAAATTGGACGAGCCATCCTAGAAGATTGGGTTTAGTCACCATATATAGTTATCGCAAGCAAGTACGACGCTTCTTCCTCAACAAAGGTTATGAAATACTTACCACCCGCCGTGACCTCCGCGCCCACATACAAGAAGAAGAAACCGTTTAGAATCCACACTGTCCGGTTCGTCAACGTCGCTCTCAGGTCGCGAGCGGCGCTGCCTTTGGCACTGCTGCTGTTGGGTTTGAAAAGCCCCCGTCGGAACGTCCAGGCCAGGAATGAGAGATTCACGGCGCCGACCACCATCGTGGCGAGGTAGTAGTGCTGCCAGTACGGAGTGCGCGCGGCGATGGTATTGGCGATCAACGGGGCCAGGATCGTGCCGACGCCGTACACCGCGTGCAATATGCCGAGCCACCGGTGGGCGTCTTGCACGGTGATTGTGTAAGTGTTCATCTGCGCGTCCTGTAGGGCCACGCCGCAGCCCGTGAAGAAGAAGGCGGCCGCGAAGAGGGGGAACGGAGGGGCCCAGAACATCAGCGCATAGCCGATGCATTGGATGGTGGCCCCAAGGACCAGGGTGCCGCCGGTGCCGATCTGTGAGCAGATATGGATGTTGGTGAAGGAGGCCAGCTGCCACCCTATGAAGTTGACGAGGTAAATCATGGAGACCTGAAGCAGGCCGACGTGGTAGGTCAGTTGGATATAAGGGATCAGGACCCCTAGAGCGGCATCTTAACCGTCCACACGTAAGAGAATGTTAGCATGGATGGTTCGATCATGAGTACGAAGTAGCATGTGTATGTGTGTACTGTACCATTGAATCCAGCTGTCAGCGCACTGAAATTGGTGCTCATGATCCTGCCCATATTATCCTGTGCTCTTTTAGAACCGAGGAGGGGCGTTTCGGATGTTGCATTCTCCTCTCCATTGGGGAGGAGTTTGCCGTGCTCTTCATCTCTGCGATTGTTCATTCTGGGATCTTGTCGCAATGGCTAAGCTCGCAGAGACTTACAGTCAAGAATGCTACAAGGATCTGAGTACGATCATATATAAGCCTCCACAGTCTACAAGGCTACAGCAGTAGCAGCAGCAGGGCCATAGTGAGCTTCATAAGTGGGTTAACGCGGCTAGGACAGTCAGAGCCAAGCGAACTGAGGGGTAAAATCCCTCTTTGTTGAGTCCAAGCGAGGGGTAGTTTAGAGAGTGGATCATCGGGGATGTCGGTGAAGCGTGATAAGCATGATCAAGGGGATAGGGTGCGGAGCATTAGGCTGACTTTGATATATGGGTGCAACTGCGGCGCTCGCGCGGAAGAGCGCCAGGGTCATCAAAGAGATCTCGCCTTGAAGGCTTTTTTCTTATCAATTGCATTGAAGGATTCAAGCCAGTCTTGTCCTCCGATCTTCCCTAAAAGACACCATGCATTGGAGCGTAACCCTAGCTACTGCAATGAGGTGCATGACGCAGCAAGCGTAGGTGTGTTGTCTGTCGAAATGCAGGGAGGTCGGAGGGTTTCAATGGACCGGGTGACTTCTGGATGCAGTGCAGCTTGCATCGAGAACTCTGATTTGCATGGCCCCGTGTGGAAAGGTCATCCGATGGTGTTACAAATGATGACCAAAATGCAGCAGAGGGCCGGGAAAACGGTCCGACAAGGATTCATTCTAGATTCAAGATCGGCCTTGAGCTGCAGCTGGACCGATGCAGTGGAGCCATACGCCAAGTCGTTTGCAGTGAGTGCGGGCACGATTGTTCTTGCTCGAGGCGATCGCTCGTTGCATTAGGAATCGCATTGAGTCATGATTTTGGATTCAATCAAATATTGATTGCCTGTAAGTGTTGCTGCATTGTGGTGGCTTACAATGCTTGCAGCCACGCGTGGGCGTAAAGCTTATGTGTAGTGGTATATCTATCACAGGCAAGCTGAATCTTCTGATATTGACCACTGGGCAAGGGTGAGTGTGAGTAAAGAAATGAGGAAGGCATTGAGGAAGAAGAAGAAGAAGAAGAAGAAGAAGAAGAAGAAGAAGAAGAAGAAGAAGATGATGATGATGATGATGATGATGATGATGATGATGATGATGATGATGATGATGATGATGATGATGAATGAATTAATGAATTGGCAGAGGAAATGAATTGGAAGAGAAGAAAGACTGAATTGGGAACCGGGGCCCGGCCACACTCTCTACCTCATCTTCTCCGGTGGGTTCCTGGCCACTGCAATCTTGCGTACCTTCCCTTCTCCCTTCTCTTACTCCTCTCTTTCTCGTCTTTATCACAGACACTTCTTTGACTTCTCCACTTCTTACTCGACAAGTCGTTCATACTCTTAGCATCTTCGACGAGATTGCCTCAGTTCTTCTTCCTCAAACTCACTTCGAAGCCCACCCCCTCAATCAGGTATATTGTTCGCAATGAACGATCCCCGAAACACCTCAACTCCCCAGCACCAGGAGAAGACGGATGTGGCTGGTGATGCACCGCTGGAAGTGGACGAGAGGTCGAAGGTCTCTACTTCCTCCGGGGCACAGGATGCCTTTGGCGATGAGGAATTCGCAGAGGTCAAGTACAAAGTCCTTAAATGGTGGTATGTGATGTGATGCCATCACCGTCTGCGCCGTTACACACCTCTTGTCCGACTAATCATTGCTGCTGCTGCATACTAGGCAATGCGGTGTTCTCATGGTGGCCGAAACAGTCTCCCTGGGTGTCTTGTCTTTGCCTGCTGCTGTTGCTAGCTTGGGTCTAGCTCCGTATGTTTCTTCTCCGAAGATGGAGTTGGAGATCAGATCGACTAACAGTCCACACAGCTCCATCGTTGCTCTACTCCTCTTGGGAATGCTGGCAACCTATACTGGCTATGTGATCGGACAATTCAAGTGGAGATACCCCCAGGTCTGCAACATGGCCGATGCAGGGGAGGTGATCGCCGGCAGGGTTGGCCGAGAGGTCCTTGGTGTTGGCCAGGTTCTGTTCCTGGTTTTCGTGATGGCTAGCCATCTACTTACCTTCATCATCGCTATGAACACCATCACTGGCCACGGGACATGTTCTATTGTCTTTGGTCTAGTCGGCTTGATCATCTCATTCATATGCTCGCTGCCTCGTACGCTAGTGAAGATGTCCTGGCTCTCGTTCGTTTGTATGCGTCCTGTGCTTGCTCTGTGGACTTTCTGGTCACAGGTCAGACAGCTAATCTGGGAATAGCTTTCGCCAGCATCCTGTTAGCGGTTGTTATCACGATGTTTGGCGTGGGCATTCTGCATCCCGGAAAAGGTGTGGAAGCCACTGTACCTACTGACCTCACCCATGGGTTCGGTGCCATCACCAACATCGTCTTTGCTTTCTGTAAGTTCGAGACCACCTCGCTCCCCTCAGCTACGCTGACTATGTTTCCCAGCTGGACATGCCGCCTACTTCGGGCTAGCAGCGGAGTTGAAGGATACCCGGGACTTCCCCAAGGCGCTATGCCTCCTGCAGACTTTCGATATCTCGCTGTACATCATTGCAGCTGTCGTGATATATCGGTACGGTGGTGCAGAGGTGGCCTCACCTGCTTTGAGCTCCGCTAGCCCCATGGTGTCGAAGGCCGCATACGGCGTCGCTCTGCCCACTGTGAGTGCCTATCGCTTCAGCCTCGGATCATTGGCAGTATTGAGTCGCTGACATAGACTGAACCAGATCATCATTGCTGGCGTGATCAACGGCCACGTCGCCTTCAAGTACATCTATTTGCGCGTTTTCAGCGGCACTGATCGGATCCACAAGCGCGATTGGATCGCCATCAGCTCCTGGGTTGGTATTGCTTTGGGCTTGTGGGTGATTGCGTGGATCATCGCAGAAGCCATCCCTGTCTTCAGCAACTTGCTCAGCCTGATTGTACGGTCCCCATTGTCCCCTTCAGCAATTCGCAATTGTTCTGTTACGAAGCACAGCACTAACAAGCAAGGTAGACTGCCCTCTTCGCCAGCTGGTTCACATTCGGCTGCAGTGGCGTCTTTTGGCTATACATGAACCGCGGCCAGTGGTTCTCATCGCCCCGTAAAACAGCCCTGACAATGCTCAACATCCTTAGTTTTACTGTGGCTGCGTGTTTGGTACATACACTATCCACTCCCCGGACGAGCGACGCTTCAGGCTGACAATCTTCACCGATAGTGCTTTGTGGGATTGTATGTCTCCGGGAAAGCGGTCCACGATCATCCTAGCCGTATGAGATTCTCGTGTGCGGATAATGCGACCTGAAAGGGCTGGTACTTCCAAAGATACTACTAACCTTTCATACTTCTATCCGACTACACTCGACAATCCCAATCCCGGACGAGTGGGATGCCTCTTCTCTCCATCTCATAACCAGAGATGTAATTTTCTTGGTTGCGTGGTTTTTTACTTTTCCGAACATTGACTGCCAGTATCTGAGGACGGTCACGCGGAACCTGTACTGTATATAATGGTTCATGGTTCACAAGCGCTATGAGAACTGGAATCGACTCAATGGAAGTCTCCGCACGTAATTCACATTCCAATAAGAAACTTGCATAGTCCTTGCAGCTCTAGCCTTCGCTAGACACCCGGGGATATGATTATAAAATAGGTAATAAGACGCAGAATAGTCCCCTTTCGCCCCCAAGGCAGCATACCAGGTTTGGCTGCCGCAGCGGTTAGGTATTAATTAGTTTTATTCCGTTAAGAAAGTTTGAATACTACATGGATCGCACATGCGCTCGTCAGGCAAGAAAGAGGGAAAACCGGGCCATGGAGTCAGCAGTCTATGCGTTCCAAGGGTTGTTGTATGTATGGCACGCAAACAAGTCCCCCTTAATGGTATGGTAAAATTACAATTCATTCGAGCCCCGACTCGCCCGTCTCATCCGCCGTTTCTTCCGCCGACAGGAATCGATGGCCTCGGGCGTCAACATGTCCGGCGGCAGCTCGAAGTCTCGTGGCTGGAAGTCCGGAATGCGATGCCCAAAGGCGTACGGCGTCCGAGCGCCCGTGCGGTAGGCCGAGAGGGCTGCTTTGCGAGTATCTGAATCGGTGAAGAAAGAGGTGAGTGGCTTTTCGGGATCGGATGGCGGCGGTGGGGGAAGAGAAGAAGGCGGAACAGTGGTCGTGCTCGTCGTCGTTGTCGTGGACGAGCCGGCCTTCTGGAAGTATGCGGTGATGGTGGCCCGCTTGGGCGCGGTGAGGGTGGTTCTGGGTTTCTTGCCTGTCGGCCCCGTTGCAGTGGTTGCAGACCGAGCCTCCTGAAGAAGTTGACGAGCAGCCCAGGCATCGACGTCGTTGGGGTCTGGTGGGTCACCGGAATAGCTTTGGGCGTCACCCCCTCCTCCGTCTGCTGCGGCAGTGGTGTGACCGGCAGCCCCCTCTCCCTCTGCGTCTGCTGTCGATCGTTCTTCTGCTGCTGCTGCTGCTGCTGCTGCAGTGGTCGTTGTCGCTGTTGCTTCTTTCGCATCGGCGGGAATTTGCTCGGCGGGTTTATCCTTATCTACCTTACGGCGCTTTTCTTCTTCCTTCCAGATCTTAAATTTCTGGAGAACAGCGGAGATCTCCCGGATAAAGTAGTCGCGTTTGGGCTCGTAAAGTTTCTTATCCTGCTCCGTGTGGCTACTGATACCCATGATTCGGAGCCAGTCGTGACCTTGAAGCTCATCGAGGAGACGGTCAAGGTTTTGCTTCTCATGTTGAGCTCGATCGCGTTCTATGTTCCGGAGCTGCTTTTCCTGGCGCTCGTTACGACGATGCGCGCGGAAGAAGATGCTCTCATCGAGGGGATCTTCGGGGATCGGGTCGGCAGAAGGGTCTGAGGGGGGAGACGGGGACGAAGCAGGTTCGGGTAGAGCAATAACTTCGCAATTGTGAAGGTTGATGAGCGGATTCCCGAAAGGACGGTCCAGATCTAACTCTGAATTGGATTTTATTCGAGCAACGATCGGAACAGGAAGGTCCTCGATGAGTTTGATGGTGGTGCTACCGGCTAGGAATTCTGGAGCAAGTATTGTAAGCCTGGATGTGCGTGGAGACCATCATTGATGATCGTTACATACCGGTCTTGGGCGGCTCCAGGCTGAGAAGCTCTTCATAGTTGGGGAAGTAGGCCGCTAGCTCGCTGCGGGCGCGAGAGCCTGTGTCGTTGGAGCGGAGGGAGCGCCGTGACTCCCGCGCATTGGAAGGAGATTCGGCGGCCGGCTGAGAAGCGACCGCGCTGCGGGTGGAACGATTTGATTTTTGTGTGACTGCAGCTGGTGAATCTTCCTGAATGGGTGTTGCGTCCGGTGCTGAGGGCGGAGCTTGACGGCGCGGGCGACGGGCCGATGAAGCGGCGGTGGCAGCGGCAGCGGCGGAGGAGGAAGGAGCGGAGGAGCGACCGGCGGGGGAGATTCGACGGGAGACGGAGGGGGATATGGTGTCTAGGGGATCGGGCGATTCACGCTCCTGGTGGAGATAGAATGAGGGTAGAGTATTGACGGGCGTCTCATGGCGTAGAATGCGACGACGCTCGGAGTGTCGCGGAGTATTGGGAGACAGGGGAGACGTGGTCGTGTTGGAGGAGACCAGCGGACGGCGCGTCAACGCCCGCCGGGATTGCGCTCCAGATGCAACTTTGGCGTGCGGGGAAGGAGCCGACGAGGCCGCGGGCGATGGCGAGGAGATATGCGATGGTCGAGGATGAGAATGGGAGTTGGTGACGTCGAGTAGATCGGGGGAGCTTTTGCGACGCCGCGACGAGGAAGAGGATTCCTGCAGTCGAGCTCGTTTGGCAGGCGGCGGATCGAGTGTTCGAGGCAGTGAAACACGGGCGGACATCAGGAGAGGAGAGGAGGAGCTCAGAGGGAGGAGATTTGCCACTGCGACAGGAGCATGTTCTGATCGGAGGACCTGAGGCAGCTTGAGATTCCTTCTTTTCCACGTTCCCGACAAATTGATTATAAGGGTGGTAGGCTTGCGGAAAGAACTCGGGGGAACAAGAAAGGCAACGAGACAGTGAAGTTTGGAGGTTGCAGTCTGGGATTTGGGGAGAGAGAAAGTGAGAGAGCGAGAGAGTTTGAGGAATGTACGGAGTAACTGTATGTAATAATTGAGGAAGGAGGGAGGGAGTCCTGTCTCAGACGTGACCATACTGTATTGTTCCTCTTCTGCTTCTCCTGCTATCTCCATCTCCTTAATTTAATCTTCACCAACTCATTCATTCCTCCATTCTGTGCACATTCACCTATTCACCCATCCACTAATTCGCTCTCCTGTTCTCTCAATACTTCTGAAATGATAGACTCGATGACAGCCCCCCAATGACAAGACAGAGGTTTTCTCCCCCAAGGACCAATTGAAACTATGCACCCCACATTATCCTCCAGTCTTTCCTCCTTCTCCGCTCCAGTTGTGGGCGGAGATGATGCATTCATGCTCATATCCAGAGCTACTCGCACATGTTTCCGAGGATAAACGTGGGGGAGACCCCCCCTAATGACCTGGATGAAGATTCTTTTTCCGCACTGGATTCCATATTCCTAATTGTCCGAAGCTTAGAGGAGGAAATTCCCCCCGCGCCGTGGCCTCTTTAAGTGGGGGAGAACGTGGGGGTGGATGGAGAAAGCAACGAAGGGCGATCAGGGCTTCATTCAATCCAATAACTGATCCATGTGAGTTTCTTCCCTTCCCTTCCCCTCTCGTGCATCTTATATCCTTTCACCCTCCCTCTAGTTGATCCGAAGTTTCGTCCCCTCATATCTCTTTCACCCTGGAAGCTAACCCGCCGTCGGCGCGATACCATACAGACCCGAACAGACCTAATTCATCGCAACTCTCGCCGCAACTTTCCCCCAACTACAAATAGACACGATACATCATGGCCCGTACACCTCGTCCCCTCACACCAGGGATATACGTCCCAACCGTGGCCTTCTTCAGCCCCAATGAAGACCTAGATATCCCCACCGTCGAGCAGCACGCCGCCTACCTGGCGCGGTCCGGCGTCACCGGCCTCGTCGTGCAAGGCAGCAACGGCGAAGCCGTCCACCTCTCGCGGGAGGAACGCAACGAGATCACCGCCGCCACCCGACGGGCCCTGGACGCTCACGGCGCCGCCTCCAAGCCCCTGATCGTCGGCACGGGTGCCACCTCGACCCGGGAGACCATCAAACTGTGCCAGGACGCCGCCGCAGCGGGGGGCGACTACGTGCTGGTCCTGCCCCCGTCGTACTACAAGTCGCTCCTCACGACCCAGACCATCCGCGAGCACTTCGAGCTGGTGGCCGCGGCCTCGCCGGTGCCCGTGCTCATCTACAACTTCCCGGGGGCCTCTTCGGGGCTTGACCTGTCGTCAGACGACATCCTCGCCCTGGCCGCCCACCCCAACATTGTCGGCGTGAAGCTCACCTGTGGTAACACGGGCAAGCTGGCCCGCGTCGCCGCGCAGGCCAAGCCGGGCTTCCTGACCTTCGGCGGCTCCGCCGACTTCACCCTCCAGACCCTCGTCGCCGGCGGCGCCGGCGTCATTGGCGGCGTCGCCAACCTGATCCCCCGCGCCTGCGTCCGCGTCTTCGACCTGTACCGCGCTGGTCAGGTCGAGGACGCGCAGCACCTCCAGGCCGTCGTCGCCCGCGCCGACTGGCACGCCATCCAGGGCGGCTTCGTCGCCGTCAAGAGCGCCCTCCAGTCCTACCGCGGCTACGGCGCCCTCCCCCGCCGGCCGTGTGTCGTGCCGGCCGCAGAGCAGGTGACGGCACTCAAGGAATCCTTTGCCGAGAGCATGGAGCTAGAGCGCCAGCTGGAGAAGCAGCAAGCTTAGGGATGATTTGTTCGTCCAACCAAAGACCTCCCCCGCCCTACACAATACACCTAACTTCCACACAAGCAAGCAAGCAAGCATAATCCTCCAATTCCATTTCATTCCCATCTGTTTTGTTCAACCCAAGAATCCTCTTTCTTCCCATCGTAGCCACCACCCATGGTCACATACACACACATACATATCGTAGTTGTAAAAAGTGCCACCCCAAAACGGCCCGCCCCCGTTCTGTCGAGATACTCAGCCAAAAGCCCAGCTCGTATCGTATCGTATCATCTCTCCCCAACTCCAAATTCCCCCCATGTGCACTCCAGTAAGAGATAATGGGATCTGAAGCTGAAGCTGACGTTCATTTAGGGGCGCGCAATCCCCAGCGGAGAAACAGTGTTCATCCTTGGGCACGACACGAAGCGTCATTCGATCGCACGATATGGAGAGATCAAAGGAGCGAAGGAGAGGGAAGTGAGTTCAGCGACCTTGGGAGATAGAGGACTCCAACCCTACCCTGCCTCTGGAGAATTGGATGCGGTATATATGCTTACAGCATTATATCTTATCTCGAAGATGCACGCGATGTTCGTGGTGAAAGAGGGAACTAATTGGTAGGTTGGTTAAGTTGTACTTGCTTGGGTTGGTTTCATAGCCCACGCGGTGGTAGCTATTCTCGAACTATATACACGACAGAGCTGTCTGTTTAAGCAGGAATTCTTGATTACAGCTAGAACTACTGTTTACTGGAGAGAGTGGTAAAAAGTGGGACACCGATTCTTTTTTCATTTCATGGTCCCAAAAAGACCCTCGGCCCAGCCTGGGTGTGCTTCTCAGCCATTCGGATATATGTATAATACAACATGATTCAAAGAGAAGATCAATCAAAACAGAGGGGGCTCAAAGAACATGGATATGATGGTATCAGTCAAGATTTTGAAACGCAAAAACAGCCACATAAAGAGAAAAAAAAAATATCAATCGGCTCGCTTTCCAGGAGACACAGGTATGCAAAAGACATAAGATACGAATGGGAAAGGGAAAGAATACAAAGCAGGGATGCTTCAGGGGGAAGGCGGTTTTAGGCCATCAGCTCGTCGAGGTTCTCATGCGAATAAGCGACGTCGGGTAGTGGGACGGCTGGCCGACCGATCATCTGCGTGGTTGGGCCGCTGAGCCACGGCCCACGTTCTTCGTCGTTGGCACTCAACACGCCCTCAGCACGCTTCAGAGTCTCAACATCCAGATCGGTCACGTATGCATCCCGGTTGGTACCATCTCCGGCGCCACCTGGGAGCTTGAGCCGGACTTCGAACTCGTTGTCAAGCATCATCTCATCCTTCCATAGACGACGCTGACCATCAAAGACACAAAGCACGCGCTTCTTGGTCTTGATGCTGCTGCTGGGGCATCCCCACGACTGAGGGTACCGGTCACGGTTGTTCCGCCGCTTGGTCGCCGTCGCGCGCATCTTGTTGTTGGCTAAGGGTTTAGTGACGGCATTGCCGCTGCCCAGGATAACGCGAGCGGTGGAATTGCCCCGAGGAACCTTCAGGAAGTTCTTAGCCAACCGCTGGCTGGGGCTTTCGTAGAAGTCTTCGTCATCGTCGTCATTTTCGTCGCTGAATCGATCCACGGTACCAGCCGTGTCGAGTAGCATGTGTTTCTCCATAGTCTTCTTCACCTCCTCGTCCGAGTCGACTTCGGCAAGGCGCTGCTGGTTGATGGCTTCGCTAGGCTCTTCTTGTTGCACCACGCGTAGCACACAGTCATCCAGATGCTCGTAGAAGTCTTGTGCATTGCTGAAAGTGATGGAACACGTAGAACATTTGCCAGTAGCCTCCTGACTATGACCAGACACATTCTTGGCAATGGAGGCCACGGGGGTTCGCTTGCGGCAGTTGGGTGGCGTTTGCTCAACACCGTGCACTGAAGTCAGATGACGCTTGAAGACGTCCGCCCGGTTGAAACTCTTCTCAGCGGGCGACCCAGATCCCGGACAGAATCCGCACACCATCGTTCCCTTGTAATGGGTGAGTGTATGCCGATTCTTGTCGTACTTGCGTGCGAACCCCTTGATGTGGTACTCGCAAGTTGCAATCGGGCATTTCTCAGGTCTCTCGGACTGGTGAGTAAGCATGTGGGCCTTGAGGTCCTTGAACACTCGTCCACAGTCGGGATGAGGGCATCGGCCCTTTTCCTTGAATTCATCATCGGAGTCGAGGCTGCTCGACGCCGGGCTGGGCTGAGACAGGCGAGACCGGACCGAAGCCACGGATGATCTTCGCTGATATGCGGAGACGGGGAGTGAACAAGGAACGGTGGAAACGGGAGAAGCAGCTGAGAACTCAGCTTGCTGGTGGGGAAAGGGTTGCGTGGTGGGATAGGGCTCCTCAGGCTGGTAGTGAGATGGATTGGGAGATTGGGGGAAGAAGCTGTCCTGAGCGATCATGAAGTCGGACGACTCAGGAAACGAGATGGCGGGTGGTGAAAGATGGCATTGCTGGGAGTTGGGCTGAATTACTGAAGGATCTGTTCAGCACTCATGGTTAGCAGAGGAACAATATCTATGTGGGCGGGAAAGCACGAACCGACACAATTCTCAATCCACTTCTTCTGATAGAAGCCATCCGTGTCCGTTGCGCCGCTGACATACTCATTGAGAAAGAAGTCGCCCATGAGAGCGTCGGCGAGTCCCAAGCCGTTGGTAGTCTGGATCCACTCCTCTTGGATAAAATGTGCTGTTCCTGAGTGGGGTGACCCCATGGCGGACGATGAGGCACTCGGGATAGAAGGTCCTGAAGCGGTAGAGAGACCAGGAATGAAGTGATCGGCGGAAAGAGGAAGAGAAGGAGGTGTGACGGGCATTGGAGGGAAGCTGGAGGTCTTGGGGAGAGGTGCGAAAGCGTCCGAGTACATGGCAGGAGTGTCATAATAGGGTGGTTGCAATGCGACGGAGGAATCGTGTGTCTGCCCATAATCACACATGCCCTCCATTGGGAAGGCGAACGGGTCGACCAACGTGGAGTCCATTGCGAGCTGTGGGACGTAGGAAGTCTGCCGTTGTCTGGTGGAATCGAGAGCAAGGGCTAGCATCTTCTTGTTGTCGGTGGTGAAATGAGCCGGACAGAGGACAAAATCGGCGAAATCTTGACTCTGCATGTTGTGCAGGGACGTCCGAAAAGGAATGTGCGCAGTGGTAGCCTGTATGCAGGCAATGATTTCGACGACTAGGGTCGAGTATGTTAGAGCGAGCACTGAAAGTCTGCAGGGTATCTGAGTCAGTTGAGGTATCTGATTGTTGAGGTCTCATACTGGATGGTGATTGAGTTTCGGGGTAGGTACGGTACTGGGACCGGGCCGCGCGGGGGAACCTACAATTCCTGATGCTGTTTCCTTGGATGCGACAGAGCGGAACCCGTGGATACAATGCGCGAAGATGTGCGATAAATTTTCTTTGTGCCTCGCTGCAATTCGCAGGGTGGGTGGTGAAAAGTGACGACGAGTTCAAGTGAGGGAAGGTTGGTTGATGATGGGAAGAGATGTATGTCTATACCGGGACGATGTCAACAGGTTGACAGCGACAGTCAAGACAAATAAGGGCGAGGGCCGAAAGATAAATCGGGAGAGAGGGGTGAGAGAGAAAAAGAAAACAATGGTATAGACTGGAAAAGAAAGTCGACGAGGGAAGGAGGGAGTAGAAGCATTGTTAAATGTTATGTGATTGCTGGCCCTACAAGAAAGTTGAATGCTACTATTTGCGCTCATAATGGATAAGACTGGCTGGGGGGGGGGGGGAGATTGACCAACTACTGCGCACGAACTAAGAAACCACGCTAAAATAAAAACCATGACCATTCATAGTATACAGGATAGGACAGGGGAGTCATTTCTTAGCGCGCATCGAAAGTGACTGGGGTGGGTGTGGGTGCAGTGGGTGGATGTGAGCGTGTGGACTGTGGATGATACCGTCGATGATGATGATGGATAGTGGAGGGTGGAGGAGGGCAGTACGGCAGACAGACAGTACGGAGTACGGTAGGAAGGAGACCGAACAGACCGATCAACCCGTGTACAGTAATGTGAAAGAAAAAGAAAAAGAAAAAGAAAAAGAAAAGCCCCAAAAAATTAAAAAGTAAAAAATAAAAAAAAACAACAGGGGTAAATCGAAGCAAGAAGCATGAGTGGGGATTGCCGGGCAGCAGTAAAAAGAAGCAGGGGCAGGGCAGCCAGTGAACCGAGCCTGGTATTTTTGGCTCCTTCTTCTTTCTCTCTCGTTACGCCGGCTTTACCGCTAAGCCTGCCTGCTTGCCTTCCTGCATGCTGTGACGCTCTTGCTCTTGCTCTTGCTCTCTCTCGCTCTCTTGCACTGCCTGCCTAGAACACCGTCGGGTCGAATCTTCGTTTCTTTTTTACCATTTATGATTATTTGCTACATTTAGCGATCATATCAACCAAGAAGATGTCATTTCGATTTCTGCCCCATGATTAATTCAATTTGAATTATTTCTGCTTCCCGCTCCCTGTTTCTCTTCTTTCCCGACACGAACCGAGCTTGTCATGAACCATAAATCCAGTCCACTTTTGTTGGGGTGTAGATCATTACTTGCCTGCTATACTCAGTAGAACGAGGTAGGCCAGCCCGGCAGCAAATGGTGGATAGGATCGGGAAATCTCGATTGATAATCGGAGGGGGAGGGGGGATCGGAAAAAAGATTCATAATCACGTAAGCGGATTTAGGGAGAATCTTCTGGGGTTACAAACTCACAAACACGAAAAGTGACGAAAGGAGAAAGAGGAAAGAGAAGGAGAGGGAAAAAATTTCCATATAGAAATTTGACCCACCAACCTTGAACATCGAGAGATAACTCGACTCGTCCAAAACATTCATCCCCTCCTCCCTCCTACTATGTAAAACCATTGGGCTTGGTGGTGGTTACCAGGTATTTTCCCAATCCATCGTCATCCATGCACTTTATTTGTTATGCTTAATTGAAGATCTTATTTGTTTATTGTTTCAATCATGATTACCTACACCTTCTTTCCTTGGGGGGTTGAAAAAGGCTTCTAGGCATTAGCAGAAGCATTACGACTATCAACTCTCGCATGAGGAGAGAGAAACATTCAAAAGTGAGTCGGTGAGACCCATTTTGCAGGCACACACGGGGTCGCCGGACTTGGATGCGGGCTTGACATTCGTATCCGCATCTTGTTGTCGGGAAGTCCGTGGTGGCACAGATAGTACCATCCCTTCACAAGAGCTTGGCTATGCCGATGGCCCGTTTGAATATAGACTATGGCCCTAAAGACCGCGCTATTGGTTGAGATTAAACTATCTCTGACATCTCCGCGCTCTGGTCGGCTCTGGAGTATTTATCGTGATGACAGGAGCCCGGCCGGGGGAGAATAGCATTCATTGTAGGTAGTCGACCATTCATTATACTCGCTACAATAGTACCGAGTAAACTGTATGTTGTCGGACGTTTCCTGTCCATGTCCATAAGGATTGTCCAAGCCAGAAACTGAAAGAAAAGATTGACCGGCGACATTCTTCCTCACACCGTGTCCTGAAGTCATCTATCTGAATCTTTTTTTCCGTGATTGACATGTCAATCCTGGGCCCCATGTTACAAGCAGGCACATCGTCCCGTCAACTCGGGTCAGACTTCAGATCATCCTCACTCCACTAGTAACTTAGTAAGGTAGGGTAACTGACTAATAATGTCTGAGTCCTGACTAGGGCGAGTCCAGAGAGTTCCCCGAATAAGGCTAGTCGCAAAGCACTAGGGCAGATGGATCTCGGCCTTGGCCGTCAAATCCGAGCACAATTCGCCAAACTTTGGAACTCATGGGCCTGTCGACGATCTTAGTTTCAGCTCCACCCCGTCACAAAGAAAACGTGCATCTCGGATTCTGACCACTCGATTGGCCGACTGCGAAGGATGGTGAAATGAAGCGCCATTGGGTTAGCAGACGAGTGGCCCAATCACCGGGCTGCAATGATTCCAGAGTGCCAGTGAGTGAGTGACAGTACTTCCGGATTCCGGGACGTGGGACAGACCTCTGAATCGCTTTGGACCCAAAGTGGACGCCGACGAACCTGCCGCCATTAATTACCCTCAGAGCCGCAACAAGCTCTGTAAGTGTACTGGTCTGACAGTCTAAGGATTTGCCCGTCACAAAAGGGTCACATGCTCATCTTGATTCTTCTGGCGGGGCCCAACCGAACTCTTTTGGTAAAAACGGATTTTATGACTGCGATAGACTCGGGATCTCCTCTACTCTGGTACTGTATTTTGGTCAAGTATATCTTTTTTTCGAGAAATAAACAAACAAAGGGTGATATCATCTAAATGACATCATGGCAGCCATCATGGCAGACGTACTCATGCTCAGTAGTCAAAATTGAGGCTACCGACGTGTGCGGGTCTAGTGTGGCTCAGCAGGAGTGCTGCAGACTGTCAGTCCGGAAAGCGGCACAAAGAGAGGACACACTATAGGGCAGCTACGCTATGATGCAAATTGGAGGGGAAATAGTGCTCAATGATTTATGTTGATAATACTACAATCATACTACCGATGACAAGAAACGATGACCAAGGATGATTACAGTCCTTGTAGCTACCAAAGCCTTGGAATCCAACAAAATCAACTCATCCTGCAGGATAAAGGGGGGATTTTCCTTCGACAGCGACCGGATGGTATCACTAGTACTGTCTACAGAAGGTAAAGTACGAAGTAAACAACAATCTGCAAAGCTGCTGCCAAGTATGCACGTGCAGATTAGCGCCTAGACAATAGACATAGTACCTACACCATGACCAGCATCATCAGCATCATCAACAATAACAAAATTCAAACCGAGCGGATGCGTTGCCGACGCTCTTCTCCGAGAGAGCATCAGAGCGAGGGAGGGTCGGCGGTGAAGATCGTGCCATTGATACCGATTTAGCGCCACACTCTGGGTTGAGCCACACTTCAACAGCCTATGATGTGTCAGTCGGCGGATCTTCCCGCCTTACCATTGGAAGATCCCCGTGCATGACGGGCTCTGGGATTCTCATTTGAGGCGCAGTCAGCCTGTTTCTCACCGCTTGATCGCGAGATGGACCCGTCGCTCCCCCGGAGGGATGTTTTCCTGGCAATCTGAAACCGTAGGGGGAAAATTCACCAGCCCCACGGACAGCAGCCCTGAGAGGTCCAGCAAAATGCCCCATCCACTCACTGCGTGCATGCATCCCAATCCTTTGAAGGTACTGAGTAGAACGCTAGAACATCATCGACGCTTCCATGCGGCTTTGTTGAGAAGAGAATCCTTGTCGTTACTTTATTATGTTATTACTCATATTATCCTTTTCGATTATCAAATAAATAACATTTTCATGCAATAATATAGTCCACCATACCATAGTCTCGTCTCGGTGTTGCCCGAAGTTCTGGCTTGACTATTTTGTGCCGCCAAGCTTCTTGGTCAACAGTCTAGATGCTGTTCACGCTAGGATACCACTCATAGATAATGACTACATACTATTGGGTATCGACCACCTGTCTACCACAGTCCTTTGGGGCCCAGTAATTGAAGGTCACTTGGCGGCAAGAAAAAAATAAAACCAAAAAGGGCACAGTGCTGCGGGGCAGAAATCACACCCTGCTACTCAGTGAAACCACTCAATATATCCTTGTTGAGCCCCTTCTCTATCCTCTCCTCCCCCTCCTCCCCTGTCCGCCATTTCGAACCTGAAACATTCCAGAACTCGCTCGTCGCATTCTCTGTACTCCGGACTCCGCGCGCATCATCTGTCAGTCAATCTGTCATTCCTGCACTAGGCGAGAGGCGTGCAGATCTGAAACGTAAATCCGATGAAATAAGTTATGCCTGAGCATCTCCTGATCTGCGCCAAAGTACGAGTATCATCACGCGTTCATTCTCAAACAGAAGGAAATATCTCTTCGTGTTGAGCAGACCTCTACGCTGAGTGCTTAGTAAACGACCGTCGTAGACCCGAGCTCTCTCGCTATTAGAGAGTGGACCGCAACGGCTGTGTCCGTGAAAATCGACACGAGGTAGGTCACGGGTGTGTATGACAGCTGCCAACTCGGGCAATTTCCCAGCACGTGGCATTTGCACCTGCGACCAGAAATTGTAACTTAAATGATCCAGCTTCAGGGGGGAAGGGTGAAGAAACGACTTCGAGGTACCCATGCTGACGGATTTCTCCCTCCTCCTTCCATGATCCTCAGCAGTTAGGGGTATGACTTTTGGGGGCGAAATATGCATACATCACTGCTCGCTTCCACGCTACGTAAAGAGCTTAGCAGCTTTCTCTGTTTGCTTGGACAATCTGACCCCGTGGTTTATTTATGATGAGGTTTTGATATTTAAATCAATATGCGTTCTCATCAAGAGGGCTGGGTGTCTCAGGTAGAGCTCCCTATGATTTGGGATGATCTGTCTGCGGCTCCCTGATTAGATCACCGTTCACTTGAAGTGGGTCATTTCTTTCCCTACCTAGATACAGGCACGCATCTCTAGCTGGGGAGTTATATCGAATCCGGAAAAGGAAGATGGCTATTTGAGTCTGCTTTCCATCTG